GTTGTTTCCCCTAGCCAAACCAAAAAAGCCGAGGGCATTACTCCTTCCCTCCCTCTTGCCCCAGAGAGCCACATGCCAGGGAAGGAGCAGCTCGGCAGGAGGATTGTGGCTGCCTCCTCCTGCACCCTACTGCCGTAGCACGCCGGAGGCTGGCACAGCGTGGGGCGGCCGGCTGTGGCCCAGGCAGGTGTGAGAAGTGTGTGATTCGGAACGAGACCTCTCCCACCACGCAGCGCAGGAGGAGCGGGCTGGGGGCACACCTCCCGCCTCTCCCCTCTCTGGCTCCCCGTCTCCCTCTCTCAGTCCACTGGCACAGGCGCAAGCTGTTCCCTCTTCTCTTTTCTCCTGCCCAGTTTCCTTGTGTCCCGCTCAATCACAAGTTAACGTTACATGGTCTTCCGAGAAATACTGATCCCTCATGTCGAACGGCAAGCAGCCGTGTGATTTGCGGTGACTACCTGTTTCCAGACAACACCCAGGGACCCTTTCAAACACGGAGAAGAAAACATTCCTGTCTCTGGGCAGATTCCTATAAATAATTTTCTTTTCCCTGAGAATTCACAACCAAGATGGCAATAAAACGTATTCCAGAATGGGAAGAGTTGTTAAGGTATGGTTATCATCATGGCTTGTGTAGCTGCTGATATTCATGACGTACCCATTTCACACACTTTCACTTAATTGGGAGCACAAGACTTTTACCACCACGTAGTAGTCAGCTGAAAAACAAAGTCCACACCACATGCATGCTAGTTAATAATCACATCTTTTGTTCTTTATGGTTACAAATGCTTGCGCATGAATTAGATCTTCGTTCGTCTTGGATTCTTGCTTGATTCCTTGTGAAACCCCATGTTACAGCCTCAGCATCCTCTGCAGCAGTAGCAAGCAGTGGTGGTTGCATTGCGGGGCCAGCCGGGTTGGTGGGTTCTGAGGGACAGGTTTGTTTAAATGACACCAGCTGGATCTGCTGCTCAGGGAAACCAGGAATCAACATGCTGATGTAAAACTGGCATCCAAGGAGTGCTGAAATGGTCCCTCTGAACTCCTGTTGATGGGTAAGGGTAGCACACACAGTGGTGACGTGTATGGTAAAGATAACCAGCCCAAGGTGGGAAGCGTGTCCTCATGCTCCTCCAGCTCTCCTAACATGAGGAACGTTAGCATGTGTTGTGTGCGTTTTGCAGCTGGCTGTGTTTTACCTGGTCATACCTGAAATGTTTGCCAGGACTCAGCTGGTGAAGTGGCTTTCCCTGCTGGGCTCTAGATTGCTATTGCACCCACAGATTTTACAGGGAAGATAATTTCTTGTGCTTTGCCTTTTGCTAAATGAACTTGCCCTTTGTGATGACTAGCAAACTTGGGATGAGCTGTAATTTCAAGAAGAGGCTCCTTGAGTCAGCAAGGCACAGGCGTGTGTGGGCTTCAAGTGGATGAACGCCCTTTCGCTTCCGGAGGTCTGAACTCGGAGGTTCGGGGCCATTTGTATTGTACTGGGTGTACGTCTCTGCTGACAGCCTTTCCATGCCTGCCTGCCTTGAACAGCAGCAGCTCTGCTCTCCCGGGACGTTGTCACCTGCTGATTGCAGGCATGGGGGTGTTGTGGTTTGCATCCCAAACCACAAGCTTACAGGGCACCTATGCTATGCTTGTATTGATCCTTTGAGTCACGCCTAAGTAGAGGCAAAAAAGTTCCCAGCAGCCCACCACGGGCCCCAGTAGACATTTCAGTAGCTGAGTTTTCCCCTTTTTCAGATACATTAGGAAGTAAAAAGAAAGAAAGGAAGGGAAAAAACATACAAGTTGGCAAAAGCAAACATACTGTCAAATGCACAGGAAAGAAAGTATTTAAACTGGTAGTATGTCTTATCTCTCATACTCCTGTTTCAGGCACTTAGACTAAAGAGGTAGCAAATAAATGCAAACTTTTGTCTGTACTTACTCAATTTTTAATTTGCTTTGCTTATGTTCTCACCTTCTAGGAATGCACTAGGTTTCACTGCCACAAATGCTTTCAGAAAATGAATTCGAAAGACATATGCACAAACGTGAAGAAATTGAATTGTTTCAGATATTCTCAGGTAGTCATGCCAGAAGTCCTTCTCCACCAGAAAGCAGAAAAAACCATGGGATATTCACTTAGCTGTCCAGTACATACTGAACATCCAATGTCATCAGGAAAACTCACTGGGACTAAGCCACAACATGTTTGTAAAATTGCTTTAAAATAATTATGAATAACAAATTCAAGAACTCTTCAGTGTGCACATGAATATGTCATAAATGAAACAAAAAATGAAAAAAATTAAAACAAGTATGTGACTTGTAAATTATTCCTTCGGTCCTAGTCATATTTCCTAGCTCAAGAGAACAAAATGGATATAGCTGAAATATAAATAATCTTCAAATAATGCATTTATTTATCATGTTTTAGGGAGCAAATGTTAATGGCTTTGTTTCAAATGTGACTGGAACTATTTCAAATTTTTTTTTTACAGAGTAGATACTAGAGGCAAGGGCCTTCTCTTCTGGTATTAATTCCTATTGCTGCTTTCTTGTTAATTGTGCGTCTGATCTGGAATGGCTTAAAGTGATTTAAAGTCGTACGGTGCCGCGTGTGGGACAGTCCTCGTGTGCGCTGCAGACAGACCTTGCCGGCTGCAGCTCCTGAGCCATGGGGAGAATGCAAATACCCCATTTCATAGTGGGTTTGTGCCAGTTCTGCCGTGGAAGGCTCCAATTCAAACAGTGTTTATATGCAAGCTCAATATACCTGGAATTTAGGAACAAATGCCTTCTTGCTTTTAAAGCTTTTAGCAAAACATTAGGAGTGCTTTATAGTGTGATACAAAGTACAGTGCCAAAACTCAGGATAACAAGTTTGGAAAACATTGAGCCTTGAACTAGTTTCTTTATTTATGAAAAAAAAAGAAAGAAAGAAAAAGGAATTCACATGCAAGTGTATTTGATCCTAGCTGAACCACATTTCTCTCCAGCCATTGGTTGGACCGGGTCGGGGGATCTATTCATTTGAAGGTTAACGTTTTAATGTGTGTGCCAGGGTTAGTAAATGAAAGGAACATTTCTATTTTCTTCAACACCTTTTTAAAGAAGGTGCAACTGCTGGGGCTAACCATAGTCAAGGATCTGTCCATCCCATCCAGGTCGTCTGCAAAAAAAAGTAGGCATCGGGAAGACATGAAAGGCGGAGGGATGAGCGGGGTTTATATATAAGGCAGAGCGGCGTGGCCGGGGCTGGCAGTCTGGCAGCCGGCGCTGGAGTCCTCGGAGCTCATCCCACGCTCCCGCCGAGTCGCTCATCTCTGTTTATATGAGTAATGGAGCAGCTGGGGGAGGGGATTTGTAAGCACGGAGCAAATACTCTTAGTGTTCATTTTGTGTAAGACTGACATCCACACCAAGTCGAGACTTCCAGCGACGTAGTGTGCAGTCACATGCTGTAGCATTCATGAGTACAGATATAAATCAGGCAGATGTTTGTCGACTGGAATGGGTAATAATTTCTTTCTCTCTTTGTTTGATTTTGCATGTTAGCCTCAGATGACAATTTCAGAATTGCTTTCTGCAGTACTTTTCAATAAGCAGAATGTGCTTCACTGGAGATAGATGGAGATATTTCTATAGGGAGATAAACATTTTTATATAGACAAAAATACGGACTTACACACATACGCACATGCATGTGTATATATATATTTACCATGTGCCAGTGCTGGGGGAAGAAAAAGGATGTGTCTTTTGGACTTTCGGTTTTAAACCCACAGCTTTTCTTTTTCTCTGAACAGACCAAATATGACACTGTTACTCAAACTATAAAATCAAATTAGCACCCTTTATTGTGTTTGCAAACTAATTAAAATGTAAAATGTCCTGAAACCACTGGCTTACTGTGTGACAAATGTAAGATTAGAAACAATTAGAAGGCACTCAAGAGGTTTGTGGTGTTTAGATTTCTGACATTGTTCTAATCATCCCTTTAAGTAATGAAAACAATGGTTACCTAGAAATTGAAGGTTTAAAGGAAATTATCTTCTTCGGTACAGTCATTAGTTAATGATTGTTTATCATTTTAAATGTTTCCATAGTAGTTGGAGGCTGATTTTTAAATCTGAAAGCAGGCAGGACACGTAATAATGAGCAACATCTGCTTCATCTATTATTTCTATATGTGATCATAATTTATATTGTAATACCACTATTGAAAGATGAGTCTGATATTTTTTACGATGATCCATATCCCATTCTATGTATGGCTCAGCACGGTTAGGATTTAGTCACTCTGTTATTTCAGAGCTGTTTTATCTTAAGAATTGGACAAAACTGAAAGTGATTCATGTTAATTTATATGTGTGGTATGTAACCCTTATGAAACAATCAATCACTTATTTCAGTACTTGTCAACTTCCAGAACTAGTTGTTAAGGAGTTTTTTTGATCCGTTTCAGGACTCGGGGATAATTTTTTTTTTTTTTAAACTTTTTTAGAAGAACTTTGACAAGAATGACAGGATATATAAACATTTCTTGGAGCTGTAAGGAATTTCAATATTTCAGAACATTTCCAAAACCAGATGTTTCCCAAAGTTGGAAATAGTAGTTAGAACTCTTACTTGAAGATTAGAAATAATAAATGCAGCAGGCTGATTAATGCAAAGTTACCTATTAATATTCTATTTTGTTCTTTTTTGTACCATGGAGAAATACTTGTGCTTTCTCTCCAAGTCCTTTGGAGACTAGTGTTTGACTTAATATTAATTAGTTATGTGAAAGTGGAATAGATTAGCCTTGGGGGATATTCTATAGAAACATATAGTGTGTCAAGATGTAACCCATGGAGGATGGGAATCTCGTAATAAGCATTTACTGTAGACAGATGTGTACATTTCTGTGACTGATTGTAGTGGAATTATTTATTATGCTTTCAGCTGTTAAGAATCCAGTATAAGACAATGTGCTCAAATTGTTCTCCATTAATTTTCAGCGCCAAATCTTAAAGGCAGACCGCGCAAAAAGAAGCCTTGCCCACAGAGAAGAGATTCATTAAATGGCATTAAGGATTCCAACAATAATTCTGAAAGCAAAGCTGTTGCCAAGGTAAATCACTTAATAATACTCTTTTCAGTACACTCTCCTTTTTTAGGTACAGCCCTGCCTTTGTTTCCCAGCATGCTGTTTCAAATTTAGAATGTAACTTATTTTCTTGAGGAGATAAATGTAATTTCTTTCAATAGTTTTATTCACTTTAATTCATGTCTGTGTTCAAAGTTACCAGCAACTATAATCACCTAACAACCTAATGCTATCAGCTTGTTGGTAACTGGTAGTGCTTAAGCTTTCTTGGCATGTAGTGTTAGTTTTCACATTCTGTGACACACAAACATAGTTTGTGACAGTATCTTCGAATTAAAAATAAACCAGGGAGCAGCTCACCCTGTTACAATGTACTTCTAAATATAAGTTTGAAGATAAACAGACTGTGAAACAAGAGCCGCTTCAGTAATGGTTTCTAAGAAGCACACACAAACGACATGACCCTGATGTTAAGATCTCGAATTTTTTTAAATTAGAAAAAAAAAGATAAAGGCAGAAATTCAGTATAAAAGCTTAAAAAAAAATCTGGGCTGTTTCTTTAATACTTAGTGCCGAGCTGCATGTTCCAGGGTTTGTTGAATAGTGCATGCTTTTACAGAGTCTCTGTATGTGCTACAGTGCTTAGCCCATACTGCAAGTAAAAATTGGATCGTTGATTTGTGTTTATAGACTTAATCTTTTAGATATTTATGGGTTTGTGTCTTCTCCTTAAAATATTTAAAAATGGAGTTTCTGTAGTGTAATTTACATCCTATTTTCTATGTTGTCTGTGTGGTTTTAAATAGTAATTTGGTTTTTCTCTTTAAAAAAAAAGCAGCACAAATGGCTCCTTTCAAGATGATTTAATTTGAAACTGTAAGATGCAAAGATGGAAAATCACTTAGAGCAATACTTGTAGATTTTTATCTGAGGCAGAACTTTGTCACTGTGACACTTCTGAACTAAACAGCTAAACAGGTTTGCATAGACTGAATTTTTAGGCGAACTCCTCCCGAATCCATTGTTTCAATAAATTAGATGGATGTGTATCTGAAAAACACTTCCATTGTTGTGACTATCTCTTCAGGAAATACAGTGAATCTATAGATCCATTTACGTTGGTATTGTTGTATGCAGTGAATGTCCTGGGAGATTAGGAGGTTAAAGAGGTCAAGTGGAAGTGTTCTGCTCTCAGTTTCTCATAGGAAGGCAAATTAAATTCCACCTCCTCCTCCTCCCTAGGAGTTCAGTTAAAATTGTGCCTTCTGTTGATGACGATAAAAGAGGCTCAAGTTCATGATGAAGCTCTGCCCTTAAGTCACTGTTTCTCTTCTTTTTCTGCCCTATTGTACTCAGTTAGAGTCTGTGCTATCGTATTAGACAGGCATGGTAAAAGGCGATGGAGCCTGGTGTGTTGAGTTGCGGGGTCCTGCCAGATACTATAGAATTTGCCTGAAATGTTTTTGTTCTGTGGAAGAATGCAAAATCCGCAGTGTGAAAATGTCTCAATTTGCCTCAATTCCCCCTTCCCCCAAGCTGTTTTTCATGTTAAAATATTACCAGCAAACTGCAGCGTGGACCGTGTTGTCAAAGCACCCCAGACTGTAGCACGAGTAGTTCTGCCTCTTCAGCACCTGATATATAGGTATTAGATAATTAAAAACAACAGTAACACTTCATACCAAATTGTTTATCCTCTCTGTTTATATTTGGGTTCACCCTACTAGTCAAATGGGAGGATATTTCAGATAAGAAGTAATTCCGCTTATTTATCTAGTCATACTGTGCTCATCATTGTGCAGATATTAATAGCATTAATTATCTTGGCCAGCTTAATTTCATTATAAATAATAGACATGCTCATGATATAATGTCCTTGCATGTAGTCACACTGGCTTCACTGTGGCTCTTCACATCAATCTGTCTCAGGGCTGTGGATATACTTTAAGAAGAGGGATAGTGAATCAGAAACCCTCTACAGCAGATGTACTGCACTTTATACAGACCCTGCTTATGGGTTTCTGGGGAAGGAGGGGAAGTGTATTTGGGGAAGGGGGGGAATGGAGATCTACCTACTGTCCTCTCATTGTTGGGAACCATTGGGAGTTTAAGTCATCATCTTAGGCTCCATGTTGGGCTTCACCATTGGTTTTCCTCCTCTGTCCGTGTTCTGTCTCCAACTAATGCTGACAATGGGTCCATGGAAAGCAGAGTTGAACATTGCTAGTGTCAACAGGACAAATCCACCTGTGTCAGATGCTGAAACATTTTGGCAGCCGTATTCCTGTTCCAGCTAAAATCCCTTTTGACCAGAAGTTGTGCTGCTTTCATCCTCAGATCATGGCACCCAGTGTCTGACAGCAGCCTCATTTCTCGGGTGGCGGGGCGATGGCTCTGATGGAGACACAGTGGCTGTACGGTTTGGGTCACAAAATGGCAGAAGTAGCATTCTGAAGACTGGTTTTGAGCCTGTCAAGACCAATGCAAGCCACATGGTTGTAATGACTTGCTGAATTTCATGTTCTCAGCTGCCAATGACTAGAAAGCTTTGTATCTTCTTACAACTTAGTTCTCATTAGGCATGTTTACCTTGAACCATCAGCAGATCATTTTGCAGGCTTTTACTGTTACTTGACACAGAAGAGCGTTTGGTTGGGTAGGAGCAGCTCTGAGTAAATTCCAGTGTAGGTGGCTTGTTAAAAACAGAGCGATAGCAGGACAGACAATGTGGTCCTGGACCTGTGGGTTTTGCCAGGGGAAGCGGGTCTTTCGTGTACCACTTCTTGCTTTTGATCTCACTACATCCATTTTAGTACCTCCTGGGGAAAATCTCAGGGGAGTTCCCTCCCAGGCTGGGCATGTAAAAATCGCAAGAATACGAGGCCATCTACTGAGGCAGGATCAGCTCTCCTGGAGAGACATACATCAAGCTCTTCTCTCCAAACACTCGCCAGGACTCTGGAGCCTTTCATACTTCAGGTGTCATCAGTGCTGGACAGGCTTTTGGGGCTTGCAGGCTCCAGCGTGACCCTCATCGTACCTACTTCATGCTCCCCAAGAGCGTTCCCATTCAAAGTGTGCAGAAATGCACTGTAAGACTTTTTAAAACTGGCTGATCTGACCATTTTGAAGAGCTGAAAGGATTAACTTATTAAACATGGAAATTGTCCCCAAATGAATCTACTCATTACATCTCCTAGTGCAAATGCTAAAGTAAATCTCTCACTTCATTTGTACAGCAAGATCTGGAAATTAGTTTAAAAGTTGCCAGGATATGCTCTTCCTGTGGCCACAGGTGGCCTGGCATGCTCTCAGACCTGGAGATTTATTCTGAGCGCCTCAGCCATTGTCTGATTGAAACTCTAAAATGCAGGTCTGTAGTGGTCTGTGTTGTGTGTGACCTCTGGCAGGAGAAGACAAACACACGGGTGTATCCATGACTGTTCACCGGCCATTTGGTAATGGATCATACGCCTCTGATGGAATACACAGCAGGAGGTGGTCAGATGTTCCCAGAGCCCACCTCGGGACACCCCCAGCTTATCCACGCTGTGGCGCTGGGTCTCCCGTCTGGGCCTTAGCCCTCAGTTTCATTTTGGAGGTGTTACTCACACTGAGGCTGCAATGAAAGAGCTTTAACGGCTCCTGCGGAAACTGAACTCTCCCTTAATAACGGAGTTGTTCAGGCTTTCCGAGCAGACCAGAAAAGAGAGCAGAGCCAAGCAAAACTCCGTGTTCATGACCTTCCTCCAGCTCTTTGCCCTCTAGGAAGGTTCAAAATCGTGTGGTGCAAATCTGGCATTGCTCTCACTGACTTTGATACATTTATGCTGGACTTACACCGGTGTTACCCAGAATGGCATTTGGCCCTTTTGGTTCTCGTTAATCATTGGTCATGGCATTCATCTGTATCTCCTGTCAGACGGTGGGGAGGTTCCAGAAGTGAGGCTTGTGCCTCGAACACTGAGTGGATGAAGCATTGCAGCCTTCGTCAAAGCTTCGTTGAACCTGACACTGCTTGGAGTCCGTCCGTTGCATTTTGGCACCTCTGAGTTCCACAGGCGCTTTGACCTCGCTTCTCTGTACGCTGGAGAGAAGGAGGTTGTGTGTTACACAGGGTTTTCTCACTCCCAGTGGCTTTTTTAATGTTATTTTCTTTGTTTCCTTTTGTCTCCTTGGGAGTAACATCCCTTGCCATTATTTTGCTGGCATAGCAGTGGGCTTTGATTTCATGTAGCATTTGTGCCCAGGCTGTCTTTGCAAGCATAGTTCTGAATTGTCCAGTTTGAAAAAGAAAATCCGTTAAAAAGATTGGTTGATTGACTTCACCTACCAAGTGGGTGACAAAACTGAAAAATTGTTCCCAGGTCCGGTGAATTTGTTCCATGTTTTGGCTTGCAACAAATTTGCAGCTCAAATTAAAAATCGTAAATTTATTGAAATCATGGGTTCATATTGGGAGCGCTAGCCCAATCTTTGGTATAGCATTGAAAACTATGACAATGTAATCTAAACTTTCTAAGGGGAAGCTGTTAAATAATTTTGCGAGGAGCCAAAGTAAAAAAGTCAAGGGATTACAGCTCTGAACTGAAAAGTGGATGAGGAAATCCAAAGTTCATTCAATAGGAAAAAAATCCCATTAGCTCCATTGAGTTTTGGATGAAACCCAGGATCTTTACAGAAGTTTAGTCAACGAGCATATCTATTACTAAAAGGCAAAGCATGGTGTCTTGTGCCATGGGAAGACAATAGCTCTTTGAGCCATGCAACCAGAGAATATCGAGCAGTACAGCAGACATACTTCAGCAGTAACTGATCAAGAAAAATCCCATAGGAAGTGCATTTCCCGGTCCCTGCTGCGTTGCCTGGAAGGAGTGAGCCTGTACCCTGCAGTGTCCAACAAGGAGATTTTGCAGCAGCATCGATGACCTTGGAAAATTGTGGCCACTTCTCCCCTCTGGTTAGGAGATAGTGGTGCTTTGTCCAACATCTGTGGAAAACTATGGAGGCAGCTAATCTTAAGTCAGTGCTTTCTGCAAAGTTAATACCCTGGAGGAGTATAAAAGAAAGATTTTGCTTTCCCCAAGCCTGGACAGAGGGTAGCTTTATGGAGATAAAATAAGCGTATCATAGTCTTTCCAATGATGTATTTGTTGTTTTGTTTACAAGCACTCACATAATGCTCTTCATAGCACTTACTTCCAAAATGTCAACCACCTGGTTTAGAAGTGGGGAGAGTGAAGGAGAATCAATGGCTTACTTGACCAAGAGCTCCTGCCTTCCTGTTCAGTAAGATACCCTGCTCTCCTCTGCTATCGTCCTAAAATACCAAATACTGGCTCTTACAGTCTCCCTGCTCCCTCTGGGAGCACAAAGGACATGTCTTGGATGGGGTATGGAGCTGCCAGAAGGCTCCTCACAGCACTCAAAAGCATTGAAGGGACAGTGCAAATCCAAAATACATGTAGCCATCTCCACTACCTTGTATTAGAGGACTTCCAGTATTTCACGGGAAATGTATCAATACCACCTTGGTCATGGAGAGCTTTTAAACATCAGTTTGCAAGGTTCTGCTCTTTTGTTTTTTGTATACATAAATTATGGGAATGCTCGAGTTGTAATTTTCTTGATTCAATGAGAGGATTATCTTCAGGAGGACTGCAGGATTAAGCCGGTCTCACTGGATATTTTTTCCCATGTTTGAATACTGATGAGAGGTAAAGTAGTTCCAATTTGTTGACTTTCTGACTGGCACACGTCTGCTGGGGAGGCCAGTGGGAGACCTGGAGCTCTGGGACTCATGTGCATTGGGGCTGCCGGTGTCTACCCGGAAAGGCTCCGGCTGCCAGCCTCTTCCTTCTGCTAAATACTTAGGGCTGTGCTTAAGTTTAAGCAGATGGTCAAACCCACTTGACTTAAGTCCGTGCTACAGCAGAACCTCCACTCATGTGTGCCGAGAGCTCTGCCTGGGTAAGGCTTGCCAAGGTTTGTATCTATTTTGGTGGGCCAAAGGAGAGAAAAATGTGTCATTTCAGAGCTGGCTGCCGAGCATTCCTGGAAGGGGCTGAGCACCCTCAGCTCCAAGGGTTGTCTACGGGAGCTGACAATGCTCAGTGTCAGTCCTGGAACGAAGGTTATTATTAGACTTGCTAATGGCAAGTGTATGTGAGAGATGGGAGCTGTCTGTGACATAGCAATGTATAGTCATAAAAATGCAGATCTGGAGAGCATTACCAATGGGTTATAATGATTTAAAGATGTGGCTATTTAAAAATGTTGTGACTAAGATTCAGAACAAGACATTTAGCTCTATAAATAGCTTCCTTTGTTTCCCCTCAAACACAGTTGCATGGTTTGGCCTTCAGTTTTTCAACAATCCATTCTGCTAGGAGAGGGTATTTATTCCTTAAGTGAAAATTAAAGGTTACCCAGATCTGATATGACATCTTTTCTTTTCCCAGGTAAAATGTGAGGCTAAGTCAGCTTTGCCCAAACCCAAGAGTAACAACAGCAACTGTAAAAAAGGCTCAAGTGAGGATAAATCAAAGATTGCCGTAGGTGAAGAATGCAGAGCTGATGAGCAGGCTTTCCTTGTGGCTCTTTATAAATATATGAAAGAAAGGAAAACACCAATTGAACGAATACCCTATTTAGGTTTTAAGCAGAGTAAGTATCCTTTTTCTCACTTTCTTGTTAACATTTTAGAATGGTTTGGCTTCTCTGGAGAAAGCATTTGCACACGAAGCCTATTTTAAAGCCTTATGGATGGGGGGACCATGTTTATATCTACACATTTTCCAGTCCAGGCATTTCACTGTCTTATGCCTAGATTTGCATCTCTTCCTTCTGGGGTAGTTGCTGCTGGATATTTATAGGTTTAAATCCGCTGATTATGACTAGAAATAGGCATGTTGAAAACTCTCTAGTTTTCTGTTTTGTAAATCTGCAGCGTCTGTAATGCCTTTCTTCTGAGTTAATAATATGACGTATCTTTATTGTGCCCAGATGTTCTTTATGAAAGGACAAATATTAAAGGAAGACATTTAAAGGTGGTCAAGAAAGGCACAAAAGGGATCGTATTTTTAAGCCCCAGAATGTGTTTATAGTTAATAAATTACTGATTTTGGAGAATATAAAACCAGATTGTATCTGTTTAATACAGAATGCAATGTTTAGAATTGCTTTGGCATGTACAGTTTGTAGTGCCACAATCTGTAAAGCAATTGTAGGTGGAGAAGATACAGTTGTAACTAAATTTTACATAAATATTGCAGCGCAATGTAGATCTTTCAGAGTTTCCAACAAAAGCTATAAATGGGGGTATTTTTCCTCCTTATCTATAGATTGAATGATACTTTATTTCCTTAAAGGGAGAACTCCATGGATTGAAATATTATTTACTCTAATTTATCTCCCAGATTAAAACCATGTGTTATTTTGATGAAGAATGTCAAACCTGTATGTTTTACATAACAATTTACATACCTAATAGCAATTGGCACTGATTGCAACAGGCCTCCAGCAGCCATTATAAACTTATATAACTCCGAATGATTACAGTGTTTGTCTGAAAACTGGCTGCTTGAAATGGAAGTAAAATTAATGTACTATGAACAGCTTCGTTGCATTATGCATTGATTCAGATTAAATCAAGGCCTAAGCAAAGCTCTTGATAGCTTTGAAACAGTACAAGGTTCAATGAGGCTTTCAGAATGTTTTGTCTTGAAGAGAGGATTTTTTTTTTCCCCATTTTATTCTGCACTCCCTCAAGCATGTGGACAGGGTGGGCTTGAAAGACAAGCTAAAGCATTATTTCTAAAATTCCTCATCAGGGGTAGGGCCCTCTGCTAACATTTAGCTGAAATACACTGAAAGTTGCCCGACATTCATTATAAATTAGCGGCCTGATCCGGCAGCTACTTAAATGCCAAGAGTAAGTATGCTGAGAAGAGCAGAAATGTTTGCAGGACAGGGCTCTCTATTTGTCCAGCAAGACTTGTGCACACATTGCCAATATAAATAGGTTAATGAGGAGAAGCAGTATGTACACTACAACAGAGCATCCCCCCGCGGAGGAAGAGATCCCGTCCTCTGTGATCTGCAGCGTTATTGCTGAGTCTGGCCTGAAGTATTTGTAGTATGTCTATGGGGAATCATTGTTTGTTGGTGGAATAGTGCATACATCTTTCATAAAGCTGTGACATCAATTTTTCTTCTAGCTATTAAAGTAAGATAAAATAATAAAAAAAAA